AGAAAGCCCGGAGAAGACCACCTATTCTGCCGAAATTTTTGTCGCCGCTGAGAATGGGGAAGCTTCTTTTCCGAAGAGTCACGAAACCCCCATCGACACAAGGCTTGGTGCCTCCGAGATCTCCGTTTTGAATGGACAAACCGCTGGTGAGAATTTATCTATCATCTTCTCTCTCTCTCTCTCTCTCTCTCTCTCTCTCTCTCTCTCTCTCTCTCTCTCTCTCTCTCTCTCTCTCTCTTTCTCTCTCTCTTTCTCTCTCTCTCACACACACACACACACATCTGTCTATCAATCCAATCTATCAATCTAATCATATCTATCTCTATATTTATCCAATATCAATCTATCAATCTAATCTAATCTAATCATCTGTGTCTGTCTGTCCGTCCATCCGTCCATCCATCCATCCATCCATCCATCTATCTATCTATCTATCTATCTATCTATCTATCTCTATATCTTCTCTCTCTACCTTCTCTCGTTCTGTCTATCTCTCTTCTATCTCTCCATTATCTCTCTCTCTTCTATCTCTCTACCCATTATCCATCCATCCATCCAGCCAGCCAGCCAGCCAGCCAATCTAATCCAATCCAATCTAATCTAGTCTAGTCTAGTCTAGTCTAATCTAATCTAATCTATTTATCTCTAAAACAGTGGTTCTCAACTTGTGGGTCGGGACCCCATTTGGGGTCGAACGACCATTTCACGGGGGTCGCCAAACAAGGCTGTCAGCCATTTTTTCCCCTTTGGCCACGCCCCTGGCACCTGGTGATGTATAAGTGGTTGGGGGTCACCACAACATGGGGAACTGTATTATGGGGTCGCGGCATTAGAAAGGTTGAGAACCACTGCTCTGTATCGATCAATCATTTATCTATCTATCTCTATGTATTCTGACAAGCAAAGTCAATCAGGAAGCCAGGTCTATTTAACAACTGTTAACTACTAGCTTAACAACTTAACAACTGCAGTGATTCACATAACAACTATGGCAAGAGAAGTCATAAAGTGGGGCAGAATTCACTTAGCAACTGTCTCTGTTAGCGATGGACATTTTGGGCCCAGTTCTCATATCGATTGACATAGGACAGGTGTCGATCGCAGGCGAGGAGACGTTTTGATCCTTTTTTTGTTTCCTTTTGGGCTTTTTTGCTTGTCTTTTTTTCGAACGGCACGTAGATGTGGTCGATCTCTCTGTGCCTGTCGATGGCTGATTGCCGGGGCTCCAGGAAAGGTGAGGAATTCTTTGGTCTCTTTGTCTCCTTTTGGGCTTTTTGCTTGTCTCTTTTGAATGGTACGTAAACCTTGTTGGTCTCTCTGTGCCTGTCGATGGCTGATTGCCGGGCCTCCAGGAAACAACGTTTTCCTTGCAGCCGGTAAGAGTAAGCCGACTCCTGCTTTGTCTCTTTCAGATCAGCCCTTGGTGCTGCCTTACAAACCTCCCGGCTGCTCGGAGGTGTATTACGTTCCCTGTGGAAGAGAAACCTTGAAACTCTCGCGCGTCAGGTCCGAGACCACTGTGGAAAGTTCCCATTCAGGTATGCCGCCTTTCTTTGACCTCCAAGCCCCCTCCCCAATATTGTGCATTTTATAGCCACATCAGCGCCTAACACTAGGCCAGTGGTTCTCAACCTGTAGGTCGGGACCCCATTTGGGGTCGAACGACCATTTCACGCGGGTCGCCAAACAACGCAGTCGGCCATTTTTTTCCCCCCTTTTCCTTAGCTGTGCTCCTCCCTTTTATTCTATTGGCTTTTGAAAGCCAATAGAAGAGACTCTCTTGAATAGAGTCTAATTCTATTGGCTTTCAAAAGCCAATAGGAATTGTCCAGGCTGTCTCTGCCCTGCTGAGCCCGCCAAAAGTCCCAATCTGCAAACGTTGCTGCACTAGTTGAGTAGTCCTCGACTTACGACCGGTTGGGGGTCACGGCATTAAAAAGGTTGAGAACCACTGCACTAGGCAGTGTGTGACTAAACGGAGGCCACGTTTCTGGATGGCTGTTGAACAGCTCGGAGGTCATCTCAACCCCCCCCCCCCGCTGCATTTAGGTTAGATGACTGTGGTTAACAACTGAGTCATTCCTGAGCTAGCCTAGTACCGCTTTATAAAAACCCTCGTAATACCACATCTGGAATACTGCAGCCAATGTTTGGTTCCCATACTGCAAAAAAGATGGTGAGACTTTGGAAAAAAAAAGTGCAGAGAAGAGCAACTAAGAGGATCCAAGGCCTGAAGACGAAAACCTATGAAAAACGGCTGCAGGACTTGGGTTTGGCTAGTCTAAAGAAAAGAAGGACGAGGGGGGACATGATAGCAGTCTTCCAATATTTGAGGGGCTGCCTCAAAGAAGAGGAGGGGGGGGTCAACTTATTTTCCAGAGCTTTTCAGGACAATGGATGGGAACTCATCAAGGAGAGAAGTCACCTGGAATTAAGGACACTTCCTTTTTTTTTAATTTTTTTAAAATAAAATTTTATTGAATAACAAAAATTAAAAACA